GGGGGGGGGGGGGGGAAAAAGCCCCCCCGGGGGGGGGGGGACACGGGGGACGAGGACAAAGCCCCCAGAGGGACTGGGGTTATCATAGAGTCATAGAATGGTCCAGGCCTTAAGGGACCTCCAAAGGGCGTCTCATCCGACACTATTTTTGACACAAGCCAGGATGCCGTTGGCTTTCTTAGAGTCATAGAATGGTCCAGGTTGGAAGAGACCCTTGGGATCATCGAGTCCAACCATCTCCCCTACTCTACAAAGTCCTCCCCTACACCATGTCCCCCAACCCCACATCTAAATGACTCTTGAACACCTCCAGGGATGGTGACTCCACCCCCTCCCTGGGCAGCCTCTTCCAGTCTCTGACCACTCTTTCCATGAAGAATTGTTTCCAAAAGTCCAGCCTAAACCTCCCCTGTTGGAGCTTGAAGCCATTCCCTCTCCTGTCGTTAATTACTTGTGAGAAGAGACCAGCCCCAACCTCTCTCCAGTGTCCTTTCAAGTAGTTGTAGAGAGTGATGAGGTCTCCCCTCAGCCTCCTCTTCCTCACACTAAACAGCCCCAGCTCCTTCAGCCGCTCTTCATATGATTTGTCTTCCAGGCCCTTCACTAGTTTTGATGCAGCCCAGGATGGGATTGACCTTCTGGGCTGTGAGTGCCCACTGCCTGCTCATGTCCAGCTTCTCCTCCACCAGCACCCCCAAGTCCCTTTCCTCAGGGCTGCTTTCCAACCCCTCACCCCCCCAGTTTGTACTGGTGGGGAGGATTGTCCCAGTCCATGTCATACCTGGGGCGAAGATGCCGTCGCCGCTGCTCCATCCCACCAGCTCCCGCAGCTTGGCCAGCACCACCTCCTCCATCAGCACGAAGACGGGGGCGATCTCGTAGGTGTATCTGTGGGGTGGGGGGACATGTGGCACCCCCAAAACACCCCCCATCACCCCCCCCTCCCTTCCTTCTTCAGTTTTGGGGGTACCTACTGGCTGGTGTTGAGGGCCTCGGTGATGAAGCGCCCGGCCAGCGCGTGGTGGTCCAAGCCAGAGAAGAGCTGGTTGAAGAAACGGGGGTGACCTGGGGGTCGGGGGGACACACACACACAATGGGGACAGGGTGAGGGGCAGGGGGACAGGAGACACCCCCCTCGACCCCCCCCCCACCACCGAGGCACCACGGGGAGTCGGGCATTGGGGACGCTGCTGAGAGGGGCCACCTCCAGAGCCATGTGTGGGATGGGGACATGTGTGGGGACATGTCAGACCCATGTGTGGGACGGGGACACGTGTGGGGATGTGTCAGACCCATCTGGGGACATGATGGACCCATGTGTGGGACAGGAACACACGTGGGGACATGTTAGACCCATGTGGGGACATGTCAGACCCATGTAGGGACATGATGAAGGGACAGGGACACACGTGGGGATGTGTCAGACCCGTGTGGGGACGTGATGGACCCATGTGTGGGACAGGGACACGTGTGGGGACATGTCAGACCAGTGTGGGGAGGGTGATGGACCCATGTGTGGGACAGGGACACATGTGGGGACATGTCAGACCCATGTGTGGGATGGGGACACGTGTGAGGACATGTCAGACCCATGTGTGGGATGGGGACACGCGTGGGGACGTGTCAGACCCATGTGGGGACGTGATGGACCCATGTGTGGGACAGGGACACATGTGGGGACGTGTCAGACCCATGTGGGGACATGTCAGACCCATGTGTGGGATGGGGACACGTGTGAGGACATGTCAGACCCATGTGTGGGATGGGGACACGCGTGGGGACATGTCAGACCCATGTGGGGACGTGATGGACCCATGTGTGGGACAGGGACACATGTGGGGACATGTCAGACCCATGTGGGGAGGGTGATGGACCCATGTGTGGGACAGGGACACACGTGGGGACGTGTCAGACCCGTGTGGGGACATGTCAGACCCATGTGTGGGACAGGGACACGCGTGGGGACATGTTAGACCCATCTGGGGACATGATGGACCCATGTGTGGGACAGGGACACATGTGGGGACGTGTCAGACCCGTGTGGGGACATGTCAGACCCATGTGTGGGACAGGGACACATGTGGGGACATGTTAGACCCGTGTGTGGGATGGGGACACGTGTGGGGATGTGTCAGACCCATCTGGGGACATGATGGACCCATGTGTGGGATGGGGACATGCATGGGGACATGTCAGACCCATGTGGGGACGTGATGGACCCATGTGTGGGACGGGGACACGTGTGGGGATGTGTCAGACCCATCTGGGGACATGATGGACCCATGTGTGGGACAGGAACACGCGTGGGGACATGCTAGACCCATGTGTGGGATGGGGACACGCGTGGGGACATGTTAGACCCATGTGTGGGGACGTGATGGACCCATGTGTGGGACAGGGACACATATAGAGATGTGATGGACACATGTGTGGGATGGGGACACGTGTGGAGACGTGTCAGACCCGTGTGGGGACGTGTCAGACCCATGTGAGGGACGGGGACACGTGTGGGGACATGTCAGACCCATGTAAGGACATGATGGAGGGACAGGGACACACATGGGGACATGTCAAACATGTGTGGGGACATGTCAGACCCATGTGTGGGACAGGGACACATGTGGGGATGTGTCAGACCCGTGTAGGGACCTGATGGACCCATGTGTGGGACAGGAACACGTGTGGGGATGTGTCAGACCCGTGTGGGGATGTGATGGACCCGTGTGTGGGACGGGGACACGCATGGGGACATGTCAGACCCATGTAGGGACATGATGACAGGGACACACATGGGGAGGTGTCAGACCCGTGTGGGGACGTGTCAGACCCATGTGTGGGATGGGGACACGTGTGAGGACATGTCAGACCCATGTGTGGGACGGGGACATGCGTGGGGACATGTCAGACCCATGTGAGGGATGGGGACACACGTGGGGACGTCAGACCCACATGATGGACCCATCTGTGGGACGGGGACATGCCTGGGGACATGATGGACCAGCTGGAGCCAAACAGGGACTAGTTGGGGTCGAATTGGAGCCAAACTGGGGCTGGCCAGGGCCAAAACCAGCTGAACTGGGACCGGCTGGGGCCAAACTGGGACCAAACTGGGATCAACTGGGGCTGGCCAGGGCCAAAACCAGCTGAACCGGGACCAGCTGAGTCCAAAACGGGATGGGTTTGGACCAAAACAGCAATCCCCAAAAGGGATGGTTTTGGATCAAAACGGGGATGGGTTTGGACCAGCTGGGGCTGAACTGGGACCGGCTGGGGCCAAACTGGGACCAAACTGGGATCAACTGGGGCCGGCCAGGGTCAAAACCAGCTGAACTGGGACCAGCTGAGTCCAAAATGGGATGGGTTTGGACCAAAACGGGATGGGTTTAGACCAAATCAGGGATGGGTTTGGACCAAATCAAGGATGGGTTTGGACTAAAACGGGGCCGGCTGGGGCCAAACTGGGACTGGCTGGGGCCAAACTGGGACCAAACTGGGATCAACTGGGGTGGCTAGGGTCAAAACCAGCTGAACTGGGACCAGCTGAGTCCAAAATGGGATGGGTTTGGACCAAAACGGGATGGGTTTAGACCAAATCAGGGATGGGTTTGGACCAAATCAAGGATGGGTTTGGACTAAAACGGGGCCGGCTGGGGCCAAACTGGGACTGGCTGGGGCCAAATTGGGACCAAACTGGGATCAACTGGGGTGGCTAGGGTCAAAACCAGCTGAACTGGGACCAGCTGAGTCCAAAATGGGATGCTTTTGGATCAAAACGGGATGGGTTTGGGTCAAAACGGGATGGGTTTGGACAAAAACAGCGATGGGTTTGGACCAAAACGGGGCCGGCTGGGGCTGAACTGGGACTGGCGGGGGCCAAATTGGGACCAAACTGGGATCAACTGGGGTGGCTAGGGTCAAAACCAGCTGAACTGGGACCAGCTGAGACCAAAATGGGATGGTTTTGGATCAAAACGGGATGGGTTTGGACAAAAACAGCGATGGGTTTGGACCAAAATGGGGCCGGCTGGGGTCAAACTGGGACTGGCTGCGGCCAAACTGGGACCAAACTGGGATCAAATGGGGCCGGCCAGGGTCAAAACCAGCTGAACTGGGACCAGCTGAGTCCAAAACGGGATGGGTTTGGACCGAAACGGGATGGTTTTGGATCAAAACAGCAATGGGTTTGGACAAAAACAGGGATGGGTTTGGACCAAAACGGGGCCAGCTGGGGTTGAACTGGGACTGGCTGGGGCCAAACTGGGACCAAACTGGGATCAACTGGGGCCGGCCAGGGCCAAAACCAGCTGAACTGGGACCAGCTGAGTCCAAAACGGGATGGGTTTGGACCAAAAAGGGATGGTTTTGGATCAAAAGGGGGTGGGTTTGGACCAAAACGGGGCCGGCTGGGGTTGAACTGGGACTGGCTGGGGCCAAACTGGTCCAAACTGGTGTCGGGGGGGCTCTGACCGGTGCGCACGCTGAGGCGGATGACGTCCCGGCATCGTTCCAGCAGCTTTTCCATCCTCTCCCCTTGGTCCCTCAGCTCCAGATCCAGCAGCTCCCGCAGCTCCTGGGGCTCCTTCCACTCACACACCTGAGGGGGGGGGACAACATTGAGGGGGGGGGACACACAAAAAGTGTCCCCAACGCAAGGGGACACCCCCCCCTGACTGCCCCCCCCCCCCCCGCCCTGC